GTCTTTAAAGTCACAGCACATGACTCAAGCGTTAGTAGCATGCCTTTTGGATTCCTTGCTGGATACCAGTTGGGGCGGGGGAGGGGGAAGGGGGTTTACGTGACTAGTTAAGTCCCTGGACTGGTGTTTTCGGTGCGATATTTGTACCTTTAGTACCACTAATGTTCCCATGGGAATTGGCGTTCTTGACGACTAGTTCAGGTTCGAATTCAGCGCATGAAAGTGCTGTGCGGGTACACTTTCTTCACAGCATTGCCTTCCTTCAGAATTGCAAGAATGCCGAAAACAAACTTTCCAAAATGGAATCTCGGCCACGACAAAGGGTCAGGGGCATTAGGTCTCAACATTTACTGATCATATTTCTCAGATTAGGCTGAAATGCAGGTGCAGAGAACGTTCACTCCCAAGCGGAGATTGCACTTGCAATTATTATCGTCCTTTCCACACTGGTTCCTACATAGCGCTAATGTCCTTGTACGTGCAATACATCGGCGCTAAATTGTCAACACTTGATGGGATGTAGCTTTTTTGCCTTTTACGTACCGATTTATTGGTTGCCCTTCGAGAAAGACAGGGAACTGATGGGCGAAAAATCGCAGAAAAAGCCTAGAAAAGGCTGCAATTCATTCGTATTCTTCCGCACAGAAAGGAAAACAAGATTTTTGCAGGCCCCATAAATTTCTTAAAAGCCGTCTTACCGGTCACACCTACATCGGCCCGACAATCGAGCTGGTGGTTGATAGGGAAATCTGCTATGGGGAGCGTAGACCACTGAAGTCGCTATCTATCGTGTCCTTTAACATGAAGGGTAGAACTGAAGGGATAAAAGTTGAAGGCTCCTTGCGATAATATAACATGAGTGGCAACTAAGCCGCATTTTTGTTCCGACCGCGAGCAGTACCTTGATTAATAACAGCTAAATGAGCCTAGCAGGAAAGGATCCCGGGCCTATTAGCTGGCACTGGCACGTTTCGCAGTGTGGCGCGTTTCGCAACAAAAGGCACGTTCAAAGCAACATAGCGATGCATAATTTGTTGAAGTCTCCTCCTACTAGTGAAGGCCCGCCCTCAAATGGACGCACAACCTACTTTGAAAAGAGGTACTCGGCCCCCTGTGCTTGGGGCTGGGAATGGGAATGGGGCCAGATGTTTTCACCCGCGTCCTAGGGCTGATTTCAAGAGAATAGGACCATATTTAGCACGCTTCCTCAATTTTCTTCTCATTTTTGCTCCACTTCCAAACAATTAAACTCTCATGCCTCCATTTTCTGCCAAATACCGCATTGTCGTTCCCACTCCTTTCAAGGACTACTGATTCGCGAAGACTCATAGCCATTGAGTTTCTCTCATTCATGCGCATTTCCTTTGAATGAAGTGAACGGAAGGGCGCGCCACAGCTCAGAGGTCTGGGGTCTCCACCCAGTTCCCCGCCTATCTAGTCATCGCTAAATGTCTCTATGAAGAATGAGTACTAAGTAGGTTCGAGAGGTGCGGGCTGGACAAAAAAAACTCAAAAACCACAGTTTCCTTGAGAGTGTGCCCATTCGATTTTGTTCTCTTTCAATCCGAAGGAGGGGTGTATATGAGCGCAGAAGACCAGGAGCGCGGAATGGGGGAAGCTACACTGGGTAAGGTAGGTGTGGCCTAATTTCCTTTCGTATAGAGCACGTAATAAGACGCATAATGTAGTTTGAGCAAGAGATTCGAACATTTTTTCCAATGCCCTCCCCTTTGATGTTCACATTTTTCCATCGGATCTGTCACGCGATCGTGCGACGAAGTTGCTGCATGTCGCCCGCGAACAGTTCACGCGGCAGCAGTAACCGGTAACTGAGGCAATACGTTCGGGTTAGAGCGATTTAGCGATTGCTGATGGGGTAGAGAGTAGTGGAGGTTTTTCTATAACTGACCGCCCAATCACCCATATTTCGAGCGTCCTGCGGCGCGAATTCGCGCGTTCTTCATGCGACGCGTGTGGGTGCATGATTGCTGATCGCGCCTCCTTCCGGGATCCTGGCTCAGGCTGTTGACTATGGGAGGGGGTTGGGGGGGGGGGGGGGGAAACGTGGCACAATTTACCATTTTTTTTATGTGTTGAAACTATCACTCAAAACCTTAATGACGAAATTTCAGTTTGTGCACGAAGTCGATACTCCGTTCGGTCGCAAATGTTCAATTTCTCGTACATCCGAAGGCAAGACGGACCCAGCTATGCAAGTTTGATGGCCATAATGCTCCAATAGTTGGCTATCAGCCAAAGGTGATCTTAATCGATAATGTATGTATGTATGTTCATGTCGTCCGTTTTTGCACTTAGGTATGATGTTGGAATAGGAATTGAGCTTATTGAGTCTGTAGCATAGTGTACTTTTTGGGTGCACTACTGCCGCGTACTTTTGTGATTTTTATTTGGATGTTTTATATATAATTAAGCATAATTAAACCGGTAACATTGTATATTTAATTGAGCATAATTCAGCAATAATGAGTAATATACCTAGCCACAAGTTTTTGTCGTCACAGTCGTGAACATAAAACACAACGGTGAATATCAGGCTAAGAAAAGTTGATGAAAAAGCGGCTGAACTAGGCCTTTTCTTGGCCTTGACGCCTTGTCCCATTGAATCTCCTTTTCTGAAGAGTGTTGAGTCCAATTCGACTTTTTCCTCGTCCACAGGTAGCACCCGAGCGATTTCCTGCACACCTTGACCTATCTCGGGCCGAGTATTGTCCTCCTCACTGTCGTCTTGGGAGTCCGCTATGAAGACTGGCCGATCTTCAACGATTTCTTCATCGACAGTGTCTACATTAGAGTTGTCAGCCTCACTGATACCTGCGTCAGAGGAGTCCTCTTCTCCTACAGCATTACCCTCCTCAGTGGGAATACTCTCATTGATTTCGGGCGAAAGTTCGAGGATTTCGTTGACAAGTTCGCCAATCTTTTGTCCTACTTCCGAAATGTCCTCGCTAGCCTCTTCTTTCTCTGCTTGGAAAACGCTCTCAAGGCCGGTGAGATCCGGCTCTGCAACGACAGCAGGTGCGTCCGTTTTCCGATTCTGCTCGGCCTCAACCTCCCTCGAATCGACGTAATCACCAGCAGCTGGTAGACGAGCACCACTTGTGTCGATCGCGTTCTCATCGTAATTGGTAGACTCTGTATCATCACTGCTAGCCGCTCCTTCGCTTTGTATCGAACCAGCTGAAAAGTGGAATCTGATAGTTCGATAATGACGTCATTCGATAACAAACCAATTGAGAGGAAAATCGGAAAAGAGTCAATCAAATTCAGAGAGGACAGTTGGCTGTATGGCTAAGGGTGGAGGGAGGGGCATTCTGAACCTTTGATAATTTCTCTTGCTACTTTTGTTAGATCACCCGTCTTGCCTTGATGAGACGTGTAGACTCTTGCCAAGTTTGATCGAAGCTCATGATATTCCCCAGCTTTACGAAAATTCACAGCTCTTCACAGGAAGCACCGGCAGAGACCGATGAAAATTAGCAAGAGGCCCCCACCAAGCCAAACTGCGCCTCCGAAAAGAAAGAAATCAACTGGATGTGTTCAATCGGGTGTGGATAAAGGGACTTGAGTTGGGGCGAAGCGGAGTGCCGCATTTCTATAGGACCTAATCGATTTGGCTAGTAAATGCCATACCAGATCTGGTCACCGACCTGGAAGATGCCTCTCGTTCTCACCTAATTACAATTGTTCCAAAACGGCAATATCTCTCCGAGAGGCAGTCACCGCCACGCTCAAATGAGCTACGCAGCCAGGCCCTGCCCATTTGCGGGATATGGAGTGTAGTACTTAGAGAAGCTGTAACTTTGTTTGCCTTCAAGATGACCAGCCCAAGACTCTCCTCTGTAGATTTGGCCACAGTTCTACCCTCGGAAGTAGTTCAACCCCTTTAGAACGAAACTCACGTCGGCCTAGCTCAAAAGGCCCTGACCTCGTGACTTTCGTTTTGAGAGTTACACTACCTCCGTGTGTAGCAGCAGTTCTATTCTAGGGTACCTTTACCATTCAAGGAGAAAATCACGTCGACTCCTCTCGAAAACGCCTGATCCAGTGCCACGGACGGAAACATCTCGAACATCGAATTTATTCTATTCTCGATGAGTTTTTTCCCACCCTATGAAGGTAATACCGCCAGAGCGGCGTGAAAACGCAGCAAAGCTACGCCAGCACTGCGGCCATAAGGAGCAAATCAGGGCATAGTATGTTCTGGGACTCGCCCAATAGGATGGTAGGGTCGTATTCTGGCCGCCAGAAGAGGGGGGGGTGTAATTTGGTATGGGCTGGGGAATCGATTCTGATATGTTTGTTTTTTTTCTTCACGTGACGGTTGTAAAGGGGGGGGGTCGGTCGTACTTTATGGATCATATAGTTGGCGAGAGAATGGAGGTATCGTATATTACCGTTTTGTTAGCGTTGTAGGAACTGGTGCGTTTGACTTATTGGGTGATTTCCTCTATTTTATGCCTCTATACTGCCCCCGTACCCTCACCGCTCGACAGTCAGAATTTTGGGGAAAAGCAGGGACACTTTCGGTGAATTTTGGAAACAGTGCGGAACTGCGTGGGAAAATGTTGAAAAAATTGTGTATGAAGGGGCAGGAAGGGTCGTTATTGTACTTGGGGGCTTTTCCTGTTTACATGTGCTATTTTACAACGCTCTCCTCGCCTCCTCTCGACAGGGCAGCAGCGTTCAGATGGGAATTCTCTAATGGGGGATCCGTATTTACCCGCGCAAAAGAGGAGGGGGGGGGTCGTATTTGGGCTGCGAAAAAATTGTGGTTTTTTATTTAACGTCTGATTTTTCTCGCTTGCAGACGTTTTGAAGGGGGGGGGGTCGTATTTGGTCGTCTGTGTGGGAGGGGGGGGTCGTACACCCCCACCTCCCCAAAAAAAGGGGGGGGGGGTTCTTAACAGACTCGAATAAAATCCTCACTGTTGATCGAATCGTGCCTGGCAGAATCGCTATTTTACTGGGAGGCCGATGGCGCAACGATTCAGGCATCTTGTGCTTCAGCGATAATTCATATCCTGATTCGGAGTCGAGAGATCGAAGCTATGAGGCGAGGACAAACGTTTTTACTAAATTCCGCCTAGAAGGGGTCCAGTGATAGACTCGTGGTGTCAGCTGTGTGTGAAACTCTCTGTGGCGTGCGTGGCACAATGTGTGAGAGTGCTGGCTATAGTGGTGCTACGCTAGACACTCTCAGATAGTGCGATATGTAATGTGAAGGTGTTTACAGATGCGAATACGACGGAGTACGTGAATGGGGTCATCATTATAGGGCAGCATAATTAAAGGGTGTGAATATTGGTGGGGATGCCGGACAGCTCCTTGAAGATTATGCTTAACGTAAGCGCACAGGAGTAGCTGGTAATGAAATGAAAATAACAGAAACTGTAGCCACTTGGTCATCACCTTTTCCGTGATCTCAGGATTAGAGTTCGAGTTCTTTGAAGCGGAAGGATCAGGTGTTCGAATGCCTAAAGGTACAGAAAAATTGTCGAAGGTAAATTAAGAAGAAATTCGAGAAAATAATTTTAGTGATTTGAGGAATTTATTCGCATATATGAATCGCAGAAAAGCTAGTCAAAATAACACCAATGAAAAATTGCATCATCTCTGATACATCGTGGACTCACACTTTCCGAGCAGGTGAAACCGTGGTCCCTGATTCGTAACGATCTTGAACTAATGAACTGGTCGACGGAGGGGGGGGGGGTCAAGGGTCAAGCATAGAAGAATGTCAAAAGGTAAAGGGTATTCCTCCAATACGACCCCTCTAGTCCTCATTTCTTTCGACTGGTATCACTCCCTTCCAATATCCGTACAGCGGAGGGAGGTAGACATGTTCGATAACTACCAGAAATAGTGAGATTGTAGTTCGCTTGTAGTTTACTCGCTAAGAGGAACGGGTGCCTGAAACGAGAGAGACTACTAAGCAAAAACCTTCATTGGGACCAAGTACGAACTCCCCTTCGTTGGGGGTGAGCTCCTGGTTCCAGTTCTAAGTGGGACCCAATCTCTTGCCCGTAACACCCGTTCCTCGATGTACAGTAGCGCTCAGAAGTATTCAGCCGAACGCTTTTTCGCCCATAACACCTAGCATTGTTACCAATGAATAACAGTAGTTGTCTTAGAACATGATGCACGGGCTGCAATTTTTTTGCGTAACGACTAACTTCAGTGTCCACAAGGCCACCATACTGTTCACATTTTTCGAGTTTTGTGGAGTTCCACGACAATATTTTCAGGTGCCAAACTGCCTTCTGCTCCTTGCAGTGATTCAGGACAAGTGGAACCTCGGACACCGAAAAAAAGTTGCCATGAAGATGAAAATGTCGGCATACAGATGTGCCTTTCCCAAGTATTCTGAAAGTTTCCAGACCCACACTGCCGTCGTGGTCACCACAATAATACTACAGTCAGCTGTTATTGTTTGATAACTGCTGTTTAACGCCGCAGTGCGCGATCCGAAAGTTATCACAAGAATGCTGAGTTGTGGGCAAAAGTCGGACCACGGACGGGATTCGAACCCGCATCTTCTGCTTACCGGGCAGTTGCGTTCCCTATTACGCTACCGAGGCCACTTTTGACCACTCAGCTCAATTCTTATTTGTGCCCCATAGCCTCTCGAGCACACACACAACAGTGAGTGTGCCCGCTAGCCGATATCGGCAGTGTAACGCAAGGCAGTCAGTCCTCAGAAACTGCAGAAACCATTGGAGCGTATTCGACATTGTATTCACCAGAATAAAAAAGCAGTCCACCACCGCTTGCAGGCTAGTTCCGGTACTCTGCCGTCGATTCGCAGCCAATTCAATGCATTAATGAGGACAAATAATTAGCTGAGTGGGATTGTCGGAGAATATTGAGAATTAGGATAAATGCGGAGGTTGCCCTACCGAAAGCCGCTGTTCGCTACAGCAAATGAACAGGTCAAACCAGAGGTTGCTCTTAGCCACCTTCACTGAAAAATCGAAACCGTGGCGCGACAACTTCTACCATAAATGGAGTGGCGCTAGCACTTTTCGAATCAAATGTGTCGAGCTACGCCTACGCTGTTTTTCCCCGCGATCTGAACACTTCTGCTTGATGAAGAGAACGTATGCTCCGACAGGATATGATTTCAGCCGAACTCGCTGTGGGACAAAATCTCCTTCCATAGTGCTGTGTATTTCGGGGTAATCATTGGTTGGGATTTTGCAGTCGAGTCTGTACGACCTCTTTTTTTTGGAGTCGCGTACGACCCCCACTTCTGGGACGCCCTCTGTCCCTCGCTCATTATTAGCTTTCCTGCCACTTGTTTCCAAAAATTCCCGAGAACTTCCCTACTTTCTCCCAAAAATTATTGTTGCAGCGGCGCGCGGTACGCATGAAACAGGAAAATCACCAGAAGTCAACCACCACTCCTACAACGCCAAAACGTAAATACGACCCCCCCCCTTTACAACGTCCGTGAAGCGAGAAAAATCAACTATCAAAATAAATTTTTCTCAGTACGACCCCCCTCTCCTGGCGACCAAATACGACCCCCTGTTGGGGATTCCCCAACAACGATGTAACCCTGGTGTATTTAGTGACAGGAGGCGGATCGTATTTGAAGTGGCAAAAAAATTGATATTCCTTCTCTAAGAGGCGCTACATATCACTCCTTTGACGGGCATTGCGGCGGTATTTGGGAGGGAAACAAAGAGGATCATATTAGCTGAGAAATGCTCCTCGACCCTGTGCTTCGCCTTGTGCGGAAGACATAACTTCAACTCAATGAGACCTTTGACGAGAAGGATTTTTTGGGTCAACAACGCCTACTTAACAGCCTCATTCATATCAGGGCCATTTGCGTTTCTCTCGTAACCATTTCATGTTTTGTTCCATAAACAACCGATCCGAAAAATGTTTTCAGCAGGTCGTTTAAGGAATTTCATCCAACAGAGGTTATAGGAATTTGGAAAAAAAAGCGAATGGAACATTCTCTTTGTAAGAGATGCTCAGTCAAAACAGCGCGCACCACAGGGGAAAAGGGGACCAGGAGCTAGTTCAATGGTTAGGGGAACCTTCTAGGAGGTGAAGTCGCTTTCTTAAGCGATGAGTTATATGATGAACAATTATGACAATTGCCATCGAACGGCAATATTTCCTCAAAATGCAGCCAGCGCCATGTGTGAACGAGCAACGGAACCCTGCCCCTCCCGTTTACGGTGAGGGATAATCATAAGGACGCTACAAATTTGCCTTCTGATTAACAACTGTCCCCTTTGCTCAGTTAAAGTTCATGGGGAGATGGAATCAGGGGAAGGGGGCTCTGCGGATGTGTTCTTGGCACAAAACCCACCTGTTGCTCGCTACGGCCAGCCATTAGAAGGCGCGTGCTTTCGGACAGCTGGGACCGGATCCCGTTCAGTCTTTTCTCAAGGAGTTAAGTCTTTCACCCTTCTGGAGCCAGAATTACAGCACTAATCCTCCATAAGAGCCCTGGAATCGATTTCAAGGTCAGCACACCTTAGAGGT